GCCGAAGGCATCCGGAGCTTCCTAGCTGCGGCCGCCGTCCCCGCTCAGAGCCGAGCCGGTTCGTTACCGGGGCACCGCTCAAACGTTCCCTGCCAGGCGAGGGCGGCTGGTGCCACCGAGGGGCCAGGCTCCGCCGTGGGGCAGAGGGGACTGAGCCCCGGGACTGGCGCTGGAGCAATAAATGTCCGTCCCGACGCCCCATCCCCGCACAGAGAGCTCAGCACCCAGCAAGCCCCTCTCCGGGCTCGGCAGCCCCTCCCCGCCGTCATCTTCCACCCAGCAGCTCATTAGGTCGGGAACTGGGCGCCAGCGGTCCTCACTCAACTCACCCTCCCTGCATTGCAGACAGCGCGGGAGCAGCGCTGCTGGAAGCCCCTGGGGCCGCCAGAACAGACCGGAGTCTGGCAGCGCAGCGGGCGCCCCGCCAGAAGCCTCCTTCCCGGACACAGATTTGCAAGAGAAAGGAAAGTCGAGTCACGCGTGTCATCGCAGATTTATAGTAGCCCCGTTAAGCAAAAGCAAGGTGAAGCCGGCTTAATTTTAATACTATATCTGTTTAACCCAAATGCACCCAAACTATTAGCATTTCAGTGTTACTGACGTAAAACTCGGTGGTGACACATTTTTTTTCACACACTTGGTCTTTGAAATCGATAGTATAACTTACACGTATAAGGCATCGCAATTCAATCACTAAATTCTCACCAGCAATCGCTGTATTTAGATTTCACAGAATCACCTTTGAAGAAATAGATTCCCACGTTGAAGTTGTTCTAGACATAGTCCAAAGTTTTCCAATAACTGAATCAAGGATCTGTTCTCGATTTTTTTTGTTGTTCTCAATTTTAAATTAATTGAAATTAAATAAATCTAAAGTTCCATTCTCCATGTGTACAAGAACCACACATGCCTGGTGGCCACTCTAGCAGACAGACAGTGGAGCTGCAGAAACTATGACCCCAGGCACAGACTGGGATCTGCCTGATAGATGAAGTCTCACCGTCAAATACCTGCAGGGCTTCTCCACTTTTCACTCACCTTCCGGGCTTTCCAGGGAAGCCTCTGAGAGGTGGAGTCTGTTAACAGAACAAGGTCACTGTGCTGAGTACCCCTGAGGCCAGTCCGTTTCCTGGCCTGTCTGGGAGGACTGTGGCTGCACAGGCTGTGGTGTGTATGCCGAAGATTTTGCAAACACAACTGAGGATGATGGTCCTGCATGTAGGGGCCAATCCAACAGAGGTTCGGCCTGGGGTGGGCTGGGGCTGATACTGAGGGGAGGAAACGTTCCTGTGGGGCCTTAAGCATGCTTTCTTATTTCATCCTCACCTCAGCCCTGCAAGGCAGGTGAGCAACTGGGCGGATAGAACTGAAGGTCAAATAGATGCTGCTGCTCAAGGGCACAGAACTGGTTAACAAGGAACCTGCATTTGAACTCAGTACCACCTGGCTGAAAACCTAGGCAGTTTCGACCATCCTGCCACGCCTGCTGTTCCTACTCCTTCTCCTGCCACCTCAGTTCCAGGACGATCTGTGACAAAGATGACATCTTCCACCCCACTCACGAGGAGCTCTTCACGGACAGCCGGGATCAGGGGCTGATCCTCGGCTCCCTTCCATGACCCCAATGCGCCCGAGTCAGGAAGTTGTTCATTTGTCCTCCATCTCTTCTCTACCCCCTCTCCCAGTGTCCTGCCTGCCTCTGCCTTAGGGACTGGGGAAAAGGAGCAGAAATTCCAAGGACCCCCTAGATGAGCAGAAAGGCCTGTCTTCCAGCAATGGAGGTTTTCCGATTTAAAATGCAGCCTTCCAATTTTCTGGCTCCTGGGGCCAGGGATTTAGCTCAGGGGTTCTGCGCCTGCCTCTCAACTTCAAGGTCCTGAGTTAGATCCCTGGTACAGAAGAAAAAAAAAAAAAAGCTTTCCTGCGTCCTGAATGTCTCAACTTCTTAGGCTAGAGAAACCCCTGCTCAGGAATTCCCGGTAGGAGGAATAACCTCTGAGCGCTGTGCCTTCACCGACTCCGCCCACTTTCTGCCTGCCCCTGCCTAACAGAACCCTCCCGAGGCCACCTCACCCTCACCCTACCTTCCTTCCTCCTCCTCTTCTGTTTTATTTCAGTCATGGTTCCACCAGGGCTGAGACCTCCGGCATCATTCCGGCTTGCCCCATACCTCTCCCTGATGTATTTTTTCTCTCGTCTGATTTCTATTCCTTTCACTGTACTGGATCCTGATGCAAGGAACGAGAGCCCCACAAAGCAAGATCCTCAATCTGGAGTCGCAGCCCCACTCAGCATACCTGGTGCACACTTTGGCTGTCTGAAGCCCTCACGGACCCCGTGGAACACAGGCTAACAAAGTGCTGTGGAGGCCTTAGGCTGCAGGGGCAGATCTGACGGCTTAGGTTGCTTCTGCTCGCCAGGGCCCATTAGACAGAGACCAGGAGAAAGGGGTGAGAAGGGCTGCAGCACGGAGCAGATGTTAGCGCAGGCGGAAGGAGGTGCTGGGCTGGGTCCTGTCTCCGTTTCCCACTACCACCTATCTCAGGGACAGGCGTTCTCAGAAATGAGTGTGAGGATGACTTAGGCTGGAGGACAGCAGAGACCAAGACTCCCGAGCCCTGTTGCTGCAGATCGCTCGTAAGGGAAACCAACCTGGCCAACTTAGAGCCCATGGTAGAGACTGGAGGCTGAGGAGAATCTCTGACCCGGAACTCTGGGCATGACTCATCAGTGTGATCTAAAGATGGGACCGGCACAGCTTATGACCCTGATGCCACTCCTGGTTTCTGGTGAAGAGTCTTGGTTCGTGGGGAGCAAAGGTGGCTCCTTCAATGGGTAACAGAAGAGATGAGTGCTGCTTTTCAAAGACATAGACAACTGCCCATCACTCAAATGGGGACCAGTATGCCGTGTGAGAGGAGATGTGAGCGGCCAAGGCTCTGGAGCCAGGGCCGCTGCGTCTGAGGTCCTCCCCGCCCAGGCCCCAGCTCGGGTCTACTCTCCTGATTCGGCTTCCTGCGAACACCTGCTCCGCGAAGGCGAAGGCGCCGGGACACCCAGACCAGACGGTAATTCACTGCCGCCCCCTGCAGCCGGTTCACACACCCCAAAGACAGGGACCTGCAGATGAGAAGAAATCACAATTCACCCGAGCCAGCATCTCACAGCTCAGTCTTTTCGTTGCAGTTTGGGATCCTAGAGGGGGAATAAGATAAGAAACATTCTAAATGAGTTTAGAATCATTTCATCTGGAGTTGTTCCTTCTAGTTCCCAGCCTCCACACCCATCCAGTCAGATGTCAACCTTCTTTTCCTAAAATTTTCAAGAACAGCAATCCACCTCCCTTTTCATTGTCCTGCTGTGATCTAATATTTAATTCCTATTCTAAATTTCCATTTCATTCCTCTTTCTGCCCACTGCAACCCCCACCGGAGTTAGAAGAAGATGGGTTATGAAGTAAATTCTCTGCTTTTCATAGCAGCACTGGACATTATTCCTTAGATTTAAATCACTCTGTTATCTTTCTAAAGTAAAAACAGCTGCAGCAATCAAGACACTCAAATACCTAGGAGTAATTTTAACAAGAAACACATAAATTGTACATGATAAAAAATGTAAAATGCTATTAATGGGACGTCAAGGACTAAAATTTATGGGATGTTTCCACATCATAAATACAACAATTCAGGCTGGGGATGTAGCTCAGTGGGGCTGCTGCCTGCCTCGCAAGCTCAAGGTCCCGAGTTCTATCCCCATACCAACAAATAATAAACCAACAAGCAACTCTCCTTTAAATAATCTAAAAAATATATGATTTCGATCAAAATAACACTAATCGAATAGGAAAATGAATTGAGGTATAGCTTCACAATAAAGAGTAATAAAACTGAACACATGAAAATGATACACAATATGGTTGATCTCAAAATAATTTGAGCAAAAGAAATGAAACACAAAAGAATACACACTCTCTGATTCTCTCTGCTATGCATGTATCCGGGAGAACTAGTTTGTAGGGTGAGGAGTCAGAACAGGACAGGAGTAACTGGGAGGTTCACAAGAGCAGCTGGAGCGTGGGCGGGATTCTGTTTTGTTTTGTTTTTTAATCTGGTGTTGGTTACACAAATGTATTCCACTTTTGAAAATTCATAAAGATGTACACTTTTTAATCCATGTATTTTTCTGGATATACATTGTACATTAATTTGTCGAATTGTGCTAAAAACACATGTGCAGGGCCGGGGATTTAGCTCAGTGGCAATTTAGCCTGCTTGGCAAGTGCAAGTTCTTGAGTTTGATCCCCAGTACCGATAAAAGACACATGTGCAATTTTGAGAAATAATATGGCGTTGAATAGACAGATAAATGGCACGCAACAGAAAATTGAGAAAGAGACTCAACAATCTGACATTATAAAGGTAGCAAAAATTTGGATATTATAAAGGTAGAATTAAAAATGGAGAAAATAAGTATCATTCAATTAAAACAGTAGCATAAAACAAAGCTGGACTTGTCACACCAATAAATTCCAAATAAGTCAAGTATTTAAAAATACAAAAACATGCTACAACGATAGATTATGTAAAGGTACAAATTTCCAATGATGAATGTCATTATACTGCATACCTAAAATGTACCAATAAAATAAAAAAGGCGCTCCAAACCAAAAAAAAAAAAATTGTTTTTTGGTTTTTTGAGACTGGG